CCTAGTCACAACAGTCAGACAAGAACAAGAAATAAAAGACACACATATAGAAAAATGGAAAACTGTAATTGTTTGCAAATGACATGATAGTGTATATAGAAAACTGAAAAGATTCCACTAAAAACTAGTAGAATGGATCAATGAAATCTGTAAAGTAGCAAGATCCAAAATAAATATCCAAAAATCAGTTGCATTTTATACACCAATAATTAAATACCATAAAGGGAAACTAAAAAAAAACAGTCCTATTTACAATTATATACAAATAACATATCTAGGAATAAAATAACCAAGGATGTAAAAGATCTTTCCTTAGAAAATTATAAAACACTAAAGATATTGAAGAAGATACAAATAAGTGGAAGCATATACTATGTTCGTGGATAGGAAGAATTAACATCATTAAAATGTCCATGTCACCCAAAGCAATGATTCATTGCTATTCCTATCAAGTTACCAATGACACATTTCACAGAACTAGAACAAATATCCTAAAAATTTATGTGGAACCATAAGAGACCCTAAATAGCCACAGCAATTTTAAGAAAGAAGAACAAAGTGGGAGGAATCACCCTACCTGATATCACACTATAATCTAAGGCCATGATAATCAAAACAGTGTGATACTGGCATAAGAATAGACACATAGATCAATGGAACAGAATAGAGAGCCCAGAAATAAAGCCATGCCTTTATGGTCAATTAATATTTGACAAAGGACGTAAGAACATACCATGGTGGGGTAAAGATAATCTAGTCAATAAATGGTGTTGGGAAAATTGGGCAGATAAGTGCAAAAAAAAATGAAACTAGACAACCTGGTTGCACCATACACAAAATTAAGCTCGAAATGGATTAAAGACTTAAATGTTAAAAAAAAAAGACTCAAACTAACAAATAAAATACAGACAGACTCATAGATACATACAACAGACTAACAGTTTTCAGAGAAGAGTGGGGTTGTGTGGTTGTGTCAAAAAGTTAAAGAGATTAAACAAATAAAATCTTATCAACACAAAATAGTATGGTGACTACCTGAGGGAAAGGGCTCTGGGGGGAGATAGAAGATGTAAAGGAGGGATAAATGGTGATGGAAGGAGACTTGACTTGGAGTGGTGAACACACAATGCAATATACAGATGATGTATTATAGAGTTGTACACCTGAAACATATATAATTTTGTGAATGAATGTCACCCCAATAAATTCAATAAAAAAGAAAGTGAAGAAGACAAATAAAAAAATGCTTGCACTTGGAAAAATAAGTAAAATTAATTGAGACTTGTAACCTAATATAGCCTATCCTAGATTACTATGTGCAATTAATTGAGAAGGATGTATATTCTTCTTTTGTTGGGTATAGTGTTCTATATATGTCAATTATGTTTAGTTGGTTTGTGGTGTTTTTAAAATCCTCTATATCATTGTTGAGCTATGTAGATATTCAACCTGTTATTGAAAGTAGGATATTGAAGTCTACAACTAGTTTGTAGAATTGTTGCTGACTTAAGTACTGTCAAGTCTTGCTTCATAGGTTTGAGGGCTCTGTTACTGGTGTATATGTTTTTATATAATTTTTATATTTTAATGTAGTTACCCTTTTATATTTTGTATTTTTATGTGTTGATGTATTTTTATATTTTTGAGGTATTTACCCTTTATTAATATATAATGTCTGCCTTTGTCTCTTGTAGAAGTTTGTACTTAAAGTCTATTTTGTGTTACATTAGTATAGCTACCCCAGCTGTCTTTTTGGTACTGTTTGGATGGAATATGTTTTTCATCCTTTTACTTTCAACCTATTTGTGTCTTTGGATCTAAAGTGGCTTTTTTGTAGACAGGGTATAAATAAATTATATTTTTTCAAGATTTTATTTATTTATCTTTAGAGGGGAAGGGAAGGAGAGAAGGAGAGAAATATCAATGTATGGTTCCCTCTCATGAGTCTCCTGCAGGGAAGTGGCCTGCAACCCAGGCATGTGACCTGACTGGGAATCAAAACGAAATCGTGTTGTTCGCAGGCCCGCTCTAAATCCACTGAGCTACGCCAGCCAGGGCTATATATTTTTATTTCAATCTGCCAGTTTGTCCTTGAAGAATTTAATCTATTGGTATTAAGAATAATACTAAAAGAAAATACTTCTGACATTTCACTATTTGTCTTATGCCATTTTGTATCACTTATTTTTTACATCATTGCATTTTTTGTGCTAGTTGATTTATCTTGCAGTGAGAAGTATTAATTTCCCTATCATTTCTATTGTGTATATTTTAGATATTTTCTTTGTGGTTACATGTGGTTTCCATCTAGCATCCTAAATTTTAACAATGTAGTTTGACCTAATACCAGCTCCAATAACACAAAAACTATACTCTTATTCAGTTCTGTCCCACCTACCTTTATGTTATTGTTGTCATCAATTTTTTTGTTATCTTAATCCTTATGTGCCCCATAACAAATTTATAACTATTATTATTTATTTCTCTTTTAAATCATATAGGAAATAAAAGTTGTATTTAAAAACCAAATATACAATAACGATACATTTGTCCATATATTTATCATTACTGGAGATATTTCTTTCTTTCTATAGCTTTGAGTTACTGTCTATTAATAACCAGAAAACTGCCTTTACATTTCTTGTAGAACAGGTGTAGTGGTATCAAACTCCCTCAGCTTCTGTTTATCTAAGAATGTTTTAATTTTTTCACTTTTAAAGGATATTTTTGCTGTATATAAAACTCTTGGTTAACAATTTATATTTTTGACTTAAATATGGTACCTTATTGCCTTCTAGCCTCTACAGTTTCTGAAGGAAAATTGACTTTTTATCTTATTAAGGATCCTTCATACTTAACAAGTTGTTTCTCTCTTGCTGCTTCAAGATACTGTCTTTGTCTTTAGTTAACCATGTTTTGTTTATGTCTCAGCATGGGTCTCTATGACTCAGGATGTGTTTATAAACACATCCACAATCCATTGAGCATTGTGGATGTGTTTATGTATTTCATCAAATTTTCAGGCATTATTTTTTTCAAATATTATGTCTTCTCTTGCGTCTCTCTTTTTCCTCTGGAACTCCTGCAGTGTGTATGTTAGTTAATACACCTAACAATGTCTCTTACAGATTATTTACTTTATTTACTATTTTCTTGATTCTCTTGACAACTTTCCTGCCTCCTGCCTCCTGCCTCAAAAAATGAGTTTGCTAATTTTTTGTTCTGCCCTCAGATATGCTATTGAATAAATCCAGTGAAATTTTTAAGATTTTTTTAAAAATTTTATAAACAGGGGAAGGGAGGGAGAAAGACAGGAAGAGAAACATCTATGTGAGAGAAAAACATCAATCAGTTGCGTCTTGTGCACACCACAACCAGGGATCATGCTCCAACTGGGGACCAAACCTGCAACCCAGACATGTACCCTGACTAGGAATTGAACAGGCAAACTTTTGCTTTGTGGGATGACACCCAACCAAGTGAGCCACATTGGTGAGGGCAGTGCTGTAAATTTTTAATTTCAGTTATTTTACTTTTCAACTCCTGTATTTCTGTTTGGTTTCTTTCTATATTTTCTTCTTTATTTATATTTCCATTATGTTTATGCATTTATTTCTTGATTTTCTTTAGTTCTTTGTCTGCATTTTTCTTTTATCATATTTAAGATAGCACTTTCAGTCATTGTCTACTAATTTCAATATCTTGACTTCCTCAGGAACAGTTTCTGTCAATTTTACTGGTTTCTTCAAATGAGCCATATAATCCTGCTTCCTTTTATGCCTTGATTTTACTGTTGTTGACAACTAGTCATATTTTATTATAATATGGTAACCCTCAAAATCATATTTTCCTTCTTCCTCACATTTAGCTGTTTTTAAAACAACTTTATTTGTTAAACGCTTCAGTAGTCCATTTGTTGGGGTGTTTTTCCAAACTATAGTTGCAAAGACTGCCATATGTGGTCATTTAAGTCTGTGTTCCTTTAGATTGTGTTCAGCTGATATTTTGACAGAGATTTCCTTGAGTTCCAAGAGTTAAAAAATCAGACAATGACAACTTAAAAAAAGGATACACACACCTTTCCCAGTCTTTTTAGATTAGTTCTGTGCTGAACTACTCCTTCAACGCTTAGCCAAACTTGCACTTAATCGATGGATCAGCCCAGTGTGTAAGTTTTGAGTTTTGTCTGATATTTTCTAAGCATATGTCTTGCCTTAAGCATGCATGTGCCTTTCTAAATCATCCCATATGTATGGGCACTTTTAAATGTCTTAAATCTCTAAAGGATTTCCTCCATTTCTAGCTCCCAGGATTAGGCACTCTATTGTGTGTCTTCACCCATTATTTGTTGCCCCAGGCATCTGCGCTTTGTTAGTTTGCTTTATAACATTTTTTAAACAAATGCCCACCCCTTTTTCAGTCTGCATTCTGAATTGAGTGAAACAGAAGTAAACACCATATATCACTCCTTCAGGCAGCCCCCAGACAGGTTAGACCACACATACACAATAGTTTGTGAATAAATTTTGCTAAACTCACTGGGAAACAAGGGATAAAGATCTCACACTAAGAACATGGGCTGGACGTGTCTAGTGTGGCTCAGTGAATTGAGCACTGGCCTGCAAATCAGAGGGCTGACTGTTTGATTCCCAGTCAGGGCACATGCCTGGGTTATGGGCCAGGTCTCCAGTAGGGAGCACATGAGAGGCAACCACACATTGATGTCTCTCTACATCTCTTTCTCCCTCCCTTCCCCTCTCTCTAAAAGTAAATAAAGAAAATTTTTTAAAAATACATGCTACACACTCTAGTATTTAATATTATTATTTCATTTTGTCTTATTTAAATTTTCAGTGCTGGTTGCAATACAGTAAATTTATTTGATGACTGGTGTTTGTAACTTGCTGTTTGTAAACTCTGTAAGATTCCCACTTGTCCCAAGGCTGATCTTCTTTCCAAGTTCCTATACAGCGATGATAGTGACTTCCATTTCTCTGCAGGATTGTGGTTATGGAGAGGGAGGAGATGCATACTGCACAGCCTGCCCTCCTCGCAGATACAAAAGCAACTGGGGCCATCATAGATGTCAGATTTGTATCACCTGTGCTGTCATCAATCGTGTCCAGAAGGCCAACTGCACAGCTACCTCTAATGCAGTCTGTGGGGACTGTCTACCCAGGTGAGCCTGCTGTATGAAACCAAGCCATTCTGGGCCTTCTCCAGCCCTTGGAACTCTCCCTTAACATTATCTCTCAGAGCCTAGTTGAAATGTTCTAACTGTCCATATCATGATGACTTCAAGTTCCCACTAGGGAGAAGCAGTGTACTACCAAGATCCCCCTATAAAGTGCCTACGTCATGGTCAGCCACAGATGAGTGTTTAACAGCTTTATTATCATGCTAGTATGCTTAACGTGGGCCCAAGCTTCAAGATACAGCTTACTGCAGATATAAAAGAGATTAGAAAGAAGTTCGTATTAAAGCATAATTCCCTTTTCTTGTGATACTAGCTCTCCTTTTGGTTACAGGGTGTGTCAAATGGGGGAATAGGTTTAGCATCTGGGTCTCTGAGTCAGAATCAGACATAGAAACACAGAACTCACAAGGGATAGTGGTGGGTACTGGCTTCCAGGAGGGCAAGACTTCTAAAATCTGCCTATGGTCCCAGGAAGGATTAATCCAGGAGCATTGATTATTTGATCATCTTGCAATTGCTTATTGCCCTGACCACAGGTTCTACCAAAAGACACGCATTGGAGGCCTGCAGGACCAAGAATGCATCCCGTGCACGAAACAGACCCCCACTTCTGAGGTTCAATGTTTGTATCCAGTTCTCTTTTTTAATTCTCCAACCCATTGGGTGACAATAAGATAGGGTAGTAAAGACTTCTACTACCTGCCCATACTCTTTCCTGTAGGGTAGATTGGCAAGTGAATCAGATTTTGAATCTTGGTTACACAATGTATCTGTGTAACCCTCTTCAAATCATTGAAATTTATTGACCCTCATTTTTCTCACCTGAAAAAAATATGAGTCATGACTATCATGATTTTTCATACCTTATTGGATGGCTGTCTAGGTATAATGAAATAATAGATTTAGAAACAGCTTATGAAATATAACATGTGTATACTTGTGGATGATGATGATCATAATATGAGGAATACAGGAGACCCTAGTGCTTTAGACTAGGAAAGGTTGAATGAAGTACTAGGATCTAGTCCATGCCTATATCACTATTGACTTATCTGTCCATCTATTGTTTTTATCTATCTACCATCTATATATCTGATCATGTGTTCTTTTAAATTATTGATATCTTTTAAAATCATAAAATATTTTAAATATGCAGAAATATTTAAACACAGAAATATAAAATAAAAATACTCAGCAATTAATATCCATAATTAATAAATCTTAACATTTTCTGTATTTGCTTAAGATTCTTTTAAAGAACAAAGATTCTGGACAGCATTATCCTGAGTGAAATAAGCCAGTCAGAGAAAGACAAATACCAAATTATTTCACTCATATGTGGAAACTAGTGAACAAACTGAATTAACAAGCAAAATAGAGACAGACTCATAGATACAGAGCAGTATGACAGCTAAGGGGTGATGTTTAGGGGGTGGAGGGATTGAGCAAAAAGGAAAAGGACTCATGGACATGGATGACAGTGTGGTAATCACCACAGAGGGGGAATGTTTAAGGGGGACTAAATGGTAATGGGAAAAACACAATTAAAAATAAAATAATTTAAAAAGCAAAACTAGAAAAGTAAAATAAATAAAGATTCCGCAGATTTAATGGAATTCCCTTTTTCATCCTCTCTAAGTTACATTCTCTTTCTACTTCCTAAAAGGCAACCACTATCATGAAATTGTATGTATCTTGGAGATAGGCTATACTACAGTAACAAACCTCAAAATCTCAGCGACTTAATACAATAGAAGTCTGTTTTTCACTATACAAAGGTCTTCCTTCATCTTATATCTATATCATCTAGATTATGTGGCTTCCAGATTAATTGGACATGGAAAAAGATAGAGCAGTCATACTGGCTTTTAATTACTTCAGTCTACAAGTGACACACATTACTTCTACTTACAGTCCATTGGCCAGAAGTACTCTGATGGCCCTACTATAAAACTGTGTGGGGAATGCAGGGAAGCATGTGAATAATTGGTGAGCATTATGACTCTACCATCTCTCTACCCATGTTTTAATACTTGTATTCTTTTGTGACATATGTATATATTTATAGGCAATATATATTATTATTTATATTTTATCATGTTTTATGTAAAGGATATCAAGCTATATACTCTTTTTCAATTTGTTTTCTCCATCTAAATTATTTTAAGTGCTATACAATATTATATTATATTATATTATATTATATTATATTATATATTTGTTGTATTTATTATATTTATTATATGACTAATCATAATTTATTTATCCTGTGTCCTACAGATAAGCACTTTAGTTTGTTTCCATTTTTCTAGGTTATATAACTAGTAATGACATGGAAAGACCATAGAATATGTGAATCCTCAAATAATTGTAGTAATTTTTACCATATTAGAAATTTATGCCAGTTTCTGTGCTTTGCTGTTTATACTTTTGCCTTATCTACAGAGAAGTAAAACCAGCTTAGCAACCCTAATTGGAAAAGGCCCTAAGGAGAGAGCAATGATCTGAGGAAGTTCAGGACCAGTGGCAGGGTGACTGTTGACTGCCCACAATGACTAACCTCCTTTAATTTCTTATCTCACAGGTGCCTTCCAGTTGAGTTTAGTGAAGGCAGATGTACCCACAGTGCCCCCTCAGGAGGCCACACTTGTACTGGTGAGCAGTCTGCTCGTGATGTTTACCCTGGCCTTCCTGGGGCTCTTCTTCCTTTATTGCAAGCAGTTCTTCAACGGATATTGCCAACATGGTAAATATAGCTGCTTCACATACTGCGTAAATCAAGAACAAGGCTATAATTAGCAGAAAAGAGGAATTCTGTGGGCTAAGAGCTAATAGTCCTTCCATAGAGTGCTGGAAAACCCCAGAGGTGGACTACCTGAGGGTGGCAGGACAGGACTTCAGAGATGCTTGAGGCCAACCCAACCCATTCATGGGACCTGTTTCATTAAAATATAGGGGTTACTTAAGGAACACAACATCATAGGAAGGCCCTTAGAAATAAAATTTGCAGACTTAGGTTTTAAATCTACTTCTAAATCAGTTTGTAACTTTAGACAAATCATCTAACTTCTTTGGGCCTCTTTCTCCCTAATACTTAAAATGACAGGTGGAATTAGATTAGTTGGTTTTGTTCTTTTATAATTTTTCATTTCTACTAATAGCTATAGATTTGGTAACATGTCAAAAATGAAGGCAGGCTGGCTGGATTTGAGATATGACTATAATAAAAGTGGAGGAGGAAGTCTTGGGTAACTTATTGGTATAGTATTAACCCAAATGTGGATAACCGACAGCCCAGTGTTCAGAAGAGCTGGCAAGCATAGACTTTTTCTCCCAGATAACAAAAATATCCAGAAAAGTCTGCCAGCCAATAAGAAATAGCCATGTTAAATTCCAGATGGAAGGTCATATATAAATCAGGAGTAACACTGTGATCTGTTTTCAGCACAACTCCAGCCATCAACAAAAATGGGGGACAAAATCTAGGTCACTGAGGGCAAAGATAGAAGTGGGATAGTGGCTGGCCAGGACCAGGCAGAGTGTTAAAACTCCAGCCAAGGGTACTGGAGCTCAGTACAGCTTAAGTTTTATTGAGGGAGTGGAAAGCTATGTAGAGATACCAAAGCAGAAACACAGGCTAATGAGTGGTGTTGATTTAATAAGGAAGGGTGAGGATAAAGTTTATAGGATATTTGTGTGCTTAGCCCACTGGATACAGGGTCCAAAGCAATACTTTTACCTGTCTCTATTTGTATGAGAAGATCCTCTTATATGGATCTACCTTGGTCAGTTTGGCTCTAGAGCCTGCTAGATGATCTTCAAAAAATCTAACAGATATGTTTGACCACACCCCTGGCTTAACTGGAGATTAATATAGCATTTCACGGGCTTCTGGGACATAAGGGGAACACTGTTGTACTTTATGACCCTTATCAAACTCTATTTCTGTTTCTTCTACACTTTAAAAACTGTGGATCAATGTAGATCTATCCTGTATTTGACTTGGGAGGTTAGTTTCTCAGATAGGGGCTGTTGCCCAGTCCTTAGGCATTGGTATGAAACATGGATAATGAAGCATTTGGGCCACATGGCCCAAAAAGTTGAAGCACCATCTGAGAACTGCCTGTCTACCTTTTACTGACTCAGAGAAAAGAAATAGTAACCTTTATATGCTTTTTCTGTCCTCAACATCATAATGTAGTACCCCTCTGTGGGAATATGAAGACAGGCAACTCCCTCAAGGTATCATAGGAGAAAGAGGGTTAGAAATGTTTTCCATTGGGGAAGGTGTTTATTAGGAGTCACTGATTTACACACATACTGTGGTTATATAGGCAAGATTAGTGTGTGAATTAGATTCAATATTAGGTACAATAGAGATTAGTAGGGCTTGTGACAACCTAAAGAATTCATCTCCTGTCTAAGGGAAATTTACTTCTCAGCTCCAGTTGTTTGTTACCATGCAGGAATATTCCATGTTTCAAGATCTCCTGGATTTTCAAGAGAAGCCAAAAATATGGATTTTTGGATTTTTGTTTGAAATAGTTTTAAGCTCTGATGAATTCTAATAAACAATAAAAACACAACCACAATGTGCAGATCAAGAAAACATATATAGGTTCTCAGTTTGTCACCTGATGTCAGACCAGACTTAAACATAAAGTACCACAAATTTGATGGCTTCAAATGATTCCCATTTACAATGTCACTATTTTCATAGATCAGAAGTTTTGTAGGTTCAGCTGAATCTCTGTTCAGAGTCTCACAAGGCTGAAATCAGGGAGGGTTGTGTTCCTTTCTGGAGGCTCCAGAGAAGAATGAATTTCCTTGATCATTCAGGAGATGGAAGAATTCAGTTCCTTGCATTTGGGGGCTGGGGTCTCATTTATCTGTTGACTGTCAGCAGAGGGTCATTCCTAGTTACTAGAGGCCACCCACATTCTCTAGCTTATGACCGTGTTTCTTTTTCAAAAAGAGCAATAATGAATTGAGACTTTCTGATGACTCATCTTTCAGATACTCTCTCCAATTCTTCTGCCTTCTTCTACTTTTAAGGATACATGTGATTACATTGGGCCCACTTGGGTAATCCAGGGCAATCTCCCTATTTTAAGTCCCATGATCTTAATGCTATCTGCAAAGTGCCTTTACTGTATAACATACATGCAGGCATAACACCAGAGTGTTGAAGATCATGGGGTTGGGTGTCAAAATCTTGCTTCCCACAGAGGATTATTCTTTCTCTGAAGAAATTGACTCTTTTCCTTGCTTTATCTCCAGGTAGCCTCAATATAAAACCCCACTTTAAGTGTGTTTCTCAACTGTGACACCTCAGCCTGGTGCTAGGTGCTCTGGTTCCCAGGATGAAAATGGGGAGTGCTAGCTCCAGACCCTTTCCTATCTTGTACTCAAGACCAGGTGCCCTGCTAAAAGGAGCCCCTGCCTTTGGATGACCCAGTGGCTTTCTCCTTCGAGTTGCAGGAGGTTCGCTGCAGTTTGAGGCTGATGAGGCAGCAGAAGAGGAATCTCTCTTCCCCATGCCACCTGGCCAGGAGACCAGTCCTGAGTCTCCACTGAGTGAAAGCATCTTTGAAACCCAGCCACTTAACCCCATCCTGGATGACGACCGCAGCTCGACTCGTGGCTTCCCTACCCAGGAGTCTTTTACCATGGCCTCCTGTGCCTCGGAGAGCCACTCCCACTGGGTCCACACACCCATCGAATGCACAGAGCTGGACCTGCAAAAGTTTTCCAGCTCTGCCTCCTATACTGGAGCTGATACCCTGTGGGGGAACACAGCTGAAAGCTCTGGAGAGATCCTGGAACTCAATGTGCCCTTTGAAGTCCCCAGCCCTTAACTCTACTGAGGTGAGCTGGAAGGGTGGGTAAGACCAGAAATTAGGGACTACCCCAAAGAAATTCTTCTCTGGAGTACTGTTGTTCAGTAGGGCTAGCAGTAAAGGAACAGTAAGCTAGGATCACTGGTGAATGTTAGAACAGTAGTGGGGCTAATCTTTAGAGTGAGTCAGATATCACATTTCTGGGCCTTTAAGGAACTGGCTAGGTTTATGTGATACTAGTATCTGGCCTTTTGCAAGGATTCTCAGGGTCCCACTATCTAATACTTAGTTATTCAGTGATCTCCTCTCATGTATACATGACAGCAGAGAAATACATAGGTCTTGACATCTGGGAGTCTTATATTTTAAATCTACCTCCATTCATTAATTGCTATGTGAACCTTGTGTAAATCCCTTTATCTCTCTGAGCCTCAGGCTCTTTATTTGTAAAATGTAGAAAGCACTATTCACCTCATAAGTTCTTGTGAGGGTTGAATGAAAATGCATGTACAAGTGCCTTTTACAGTATCTGGTACATTAGAGATGCTTAGACAATATTAGTTTTTCTTTCCTTTCTCCACCCCCAGTCACAATTTAGAATTCCTTCATATCCACTACACTCATATTGTAACATCCCTTTATGGTAAGAAGGTCAAGGTTTGTTAGCAGGAACTGAGACACAGAGAACAAAAGTGATTTTCTCCAAGTCAGTCACAGAGCAAATCAGTGGCAGAACTAAGCTCAAGCCCAAGTTTGGGGGCTCCAATTCAGAGTTTTTCCAACTATATCAGTGAGACTATTCCATAGACAATGTTGCTTTCTCAAAGTGTTAAGTAGTGTGAGGCAATATGAGGCAGGCAGCTGGGTAGATTCTTACTTTTCAAATAACCAGCTACCTTTCACCACCCATTTCCATATTTTTCCAATGAAGATATTGTCCATTTCCTTCAATGAAATGCTCTTTCCTACATTGTGCCTGAGAAAATGTCAGCAATATGTAGATGAATGTCAACACTGCTATCAAAACAGTCAAGTCTAACATACCCTCCAAGTCCTCCAATTCATGCTTGAGTTCCCTTTATAAGATCCTACCAAGTTTCTATGTCATTCATGCTCGCATACTTGCAGTGTCAGTAAGCTCACCACTGCTCAACATATATTGCCACTATGATGAGTGGACTTGAACTCAACATAAAGAAAAACTTTCTGTCTCCCTTTAGTAACCACCATTGGGTCCTGGCTTTGTTCCTTGGCCTGCACAGACCTCATCTGCTTTCTCCGCCTTGTGATAGTCCCAAAGAAGTATGAAGATAACCTCTCCTCTCTGAAAAGTGCTTTTGGTTCCTCTAAAGTATTTGGAGCCTAGAACTGAACCCAGTTTCATGAGGAATGGTCTCATAGGTGTAGAATAGGGTAGAATTATCATCTCTTTAGCTAGGTGATGTATTTCTGCTATTACATTCTTCTAAACCCTATTAGTTAGTTTTTATTTTTGAGGGATGGGGAGAAGAGGAAGCTAGCAAGATTGTGCTGACAGTTTTCTAACTTGCTTTGCTCCCTCCCTAGGTCTCTTGGGCTCCTGGCAGCCTTGCTCAGTCATTCTCCCTGGACTCTCCTGCCTTGTTTCTATACCACAACAGCAGCAGAGGCCTAGGATGTGCTGTCCTCAACAGCCACTACTCTACATGGGGCACAAACTATCCCATCCACCAGAGAATTAATTCTTCATCACTTTCCCAAGACTGATCTGCAGCATTTATTCCTTAACTATTCTAGCTAGCCTGGAAAGCTGGATTCCCCAGCCATGGAACTACCAAACATATTCCTAGCTCAGCTTGATTATAGAGAAGAAGGCAGTAGATGACAATTAATGGGACACAGTTTTACTCTGTGCATCTTTGATCAAGTGGACCTGAAAGAATGATCTCTCAGTACTTTATTGATACATATATCTAGCACTTTAAGCATAAAATCAAACCCTTCCCCCCTTTAGGTCCTCTGCACTGCCCCTCTCCCTAACACACAGACACAGACATATACACACATCTACACACATCTTAGGAGAAGCCTGACATCTTGATACCCCATTCATCCCTTAAACTTCTTTGACTGTGACAGCTCTGAAGCAAGCCCATTTCCCAAAGTCTTTCTCCCCACATATAGGTCTCTATCCTTTTTCAGTGGGAAGTTAACTCAACTCAGTGTCTTTTTTGATCTTTAAAATGGTAGTTTCTTTTATTTTTATTCCTCTTCAATTCTTGCCTCTTTTGTCTCCTCTTGGTGATTAGTCTTCTCAAAGCTAAAGTTGAGTTTATAGATCCCCAGGGCCAAACTCAGAGGTCAGAACTTTGGTCTTTGGAGATACAGTGAAACTCTTGAGATCTAAGGGGGCATTGAAAACCTACAATCCTCAATAAGGCCTTACTCCAGGGCAGCTCAAAGCCTATAGGTACTTTCTTGGTTTAGGGGAAAAAAGTCAATTTCTAATCCCCACCATCAGTTTTACATGCTTCTCAGAATGAAATAATGGAACTTTTTTTATTTCCATGACTGATTTCAGAGAGAACCTTGAGGCTCAAATTTAGGCATCATAGATTGTTTTTAAGTCTACTTTATGTCCATAATGGAATATTGGGCTGATGCCCACCCCCTCACAGAGGGTCAGATTTGGAAGGAAAAAGTGTTCAATTGAATGAATCAACCATCTATTTTGTTTGGGAGCAGCCTATATAGTCCAGAGTGCTAAATATGACTTAATTTGTAGTAAGCCATCACTGGAGATAGAGGACTGTTACCCTGGGATGGGGAGGCTGCAGTTAACTACAAATAGGGATGCTGCACTTTACAGTTTGCAATATGCCTTCATAGCCATCACATCATTGAATCTCTACACAGAACCTAAAGTGGATAAGGCAAGGGTTACCATCCCCAGTTTATAGGTGAGAGATGGAAAATAACTAGCTTTAAGTTACTTAGTGATATAAGGGTAAATAGGAAGGTTAGGGGCTCCCCAATCTTGAAATCTTCATTTTCTTGAAGACAGTGTTCTGAAGTAGGAGTATTTTGGTTTTCTGGCATGTCTGTTCCAGAAAATAACTTTCTAGGAAGGAAAAATGGTAGAGACTAATAAGGTTGTTATGCCTGGATGTGAATAATGAAATGTTCTTTCCCATTGCACCAAACCTATCCTTTCCCCCTCCCCACCCCACCTTGCAGCCAGCCTGGATATACATCCTCTGCAATGTCTGATCCCAATGGAAAGCTAAGAGACTTTCCTTTCAACACTGACTTTCAAGAGGTCAAAAAGAAGGGCTGCAAGGTTAGACATTACTCTTTTTATTCATCTATCTCTTTCCTTTTACCCTTGTAATATGAAAAGATAATGGCTGGAGCCATTAGGAACCTTCATCCTACTTGACCCTTACCTCCATATATTCCTCAGTTCAATTTAAAAGTCTCTGATGCTAGTTTGGGGAAGACTTGAGACTTTAACTTTATTTGCAGGTAGGCAGGGAGCAATTATTCTATCTTTAAAAGCCTTCTCCAGGCAATATTTGAGCAAATATAACCTTCAGTTCTTTAAAGTCTAGAAGTTTATTCATACATTTTGCCTATCTTAAAGATGAGTATCACTTCTCAGCCTTTTGGCTAAGATCAAGTGTAGGGATGAGAAAACTGAGGTCCAGATAGGAGTAGTAACTTACCCAAAGCAGTTCATATTTGTGAAAGTCAGCCTGCTTCACATACCCACCTCCAGAATCAAATGTGGATCCCATAGCTAATAGTAGAGGCCAAGAAAGGGAAAGTAGAGCAGAAACTACTCTTGATATGGCAGAGGGACAGGAAGGGGTATTGGAGGGCACTAGTTATTTTTCTCCACTGCCTACATAACCCTTAAAAGAACACTAAGGAACATAGAAAATAACAGATTTAGGAGATCGATTAAGACAGTTCACTCCAATATCAGGAAAAGCAGCCAGTTCCATAATCAAGTGTTGATGAAAAAGTCTTCCATTGAAAGATAGCACATCTGCATCCGAAATGGAAAGGGCTTTGTTTGTTTTTGTTTTGTTTGTTTGATTTTTGTTTTTCTCTCCTTGTAACCCTTACCTTATATGATATGTAAGGTTTCTTCTGCCTTTTTCCAAGTCCCTCTAAACTCACTATACTCCCTGGGTCAACTGGAAGGTCTTACACATGTTTGAAGAGATCCTGCATTGCACCATAGGGCAGGGCAAGCAATTTCCTTGTGGATCTCATGGGCCTCAACTTTTTATTTGAGGTGCTATATCTCTCTGCCCCCAACACAGAGCAAGGCTTGGGTTTGCTCTCTTGAAATATTACAGAACATTTCTGAGCCAAGATGACCTTCCCATTGGAGCTTGATTTCCACAAACTACCTTTCAGAGGTCCCCCAAAGATACTCCCTAATCCATTTAGGGGCAGCTGAGTGGAGTGAAGAAAGGAGCCATACTTCTTCTTTCTATGGACATGTTAATTGGATCCCAGCTCTCCCACCACCCTCTTCCATCTCATTCTTTCTGAAGGGTTTTGGCTTCAGCTCTTACCTATACATCCCAATACCATGAAGGAACAAGCTCCACGGAGGATATTCTTCTTTATTATTTGATTATTTTTCTGAAGACTGTACAGCTAGTTCCTGCTCCACACATACCTGTTGGTTAATTAAGTACATGAGCCATCACAAGGTTATAGCCATGGAAAAGAAGTACTCTCTACAGCAAGACCTCTGCTTTCACAATTATATTAAATACATCTTTGGGGGCAGTCTCTCTATAAATGCTGATTAAGGGCCCTTGGGGCAACCCATTGATCAGGGTGTTAAAAGCACCCTGAGAGAAAGTTGAAAGACTGTACTGTACTTGACTGAGGATTAGAAGCAATTGAATAACAAGTCTGCATCAAGCAGCCTGGCCTCACACATGTATTAGCAAATATGTGTCAGCCAAGGGTTCAGGCCTTGGCCTTTGAGTTCTCTGTTCCTTTCTTTCTGGGAC